TTTTTTTTTTTTAATCAGTTTTTTTAAAATCGAACCTGATGCTGTGAAGATAAGGAGTTTTGTTTTCCATAGATACTATTTTAGTAAAATACAGATTATATAATACTAAAACGTCACAACAAAAAAGTTAATCGTTTTAAATTAAACATATTGTAATTTTAATCTACATAGTAAAATATAGATGCTTTAAAAATTATTGCACAAATCACTTAAAATATTAAAATAATTTCACAGTATAAATGGCTGCTTGTACCCTGAAAAAGCGAAGAAATATCTTAACAAAACTATTTACTTTCTAGCTTATTTTCTAGAATAATAGTAAAATATACCTGCCTACCCAAACTTATTAAATATTAATAATCAAAAAATTCTACAGGCTTTGGTAATAACAAATAATTTAATTTTAAACAAGCTAGAACGGCTTTGTTCGGTTTTTCCAGGGTACAAACAGGCATGAATATTTCAAAAACTAATTTTTATTTTCTCAAATAACGTAATTTTGGCGATTGTCTGCATTCCACAGCATTCGTTTTTTGAATATCGTGTTGACGATGTCGGTTGACATAGTACAACGTTTGTAAATGCGGAGAGATGTCGATCGACGTTCCCCAACGTTTCTACAATATTGGTTTGCAATATTGAATATACGACATAAAAGGGGTCCATTTTTATATAGTACAATATTTCGCTACGATATTGTACAATGTTCAAAGCTACGTTTTTACGATATCGTTTTTGTGAATTGTGCTACTTGGGAAAGAAAAATTGTTAATTATGAAAAATAATTTCATCGTGATAATGAAAACTTTTCCAAAAACCTATTACCGTTCAGCAGTCTAAAAAACTTTTTCATGGTTTTCTTTTGCGTGGAACACAAAATTTGATTATTTTAAATTTAATCTTAATTAAAATAAATTATTCTCATAACTTTTATGAATATGATTGCACTATGATACTAAAATTGTGTGTTACTTTGATTTCTGGGTTTAATTAAAAATAAGAAAAGCGTTTCATTACATTCACAAAACTGACAAGTCATCTTTCAGAGATGGTGAAAAATGAATGATTATTAAAAAATAATTTCTTTTAGATAATGAACATATAGCTGGAATCCTATTACCGATAAAAACAATATGGAGCAAATTTTCGTTGTTTCCTTTAGCGTGTGACGCAAAATTGAATAATTTTAATGTAATCTTAATTAAAATAGGTTATTTTTATAGCTTTTATAAATATAATTGCACTTCGATACTTGAATTCCGACTTGCATTGTTTTATGGGTTGAGTAATTAGAAGAGCTTTGCTATATTTAGGAAGTTGATACCTTATCTATAGAGGATATTAATAATAAAAAAATAGTTGCTTATAAACAATAATTTCATTGAGATAATGATGAACATTTAACTGGAATCCTATTACACCCAAACAATCTGAAAAATATTTTCGTGGTTTTCCTTTGTGTGTAATGCAAAATCTGATTATTTGAATTTAATCTTAGATAAATAAGTTATTCTTATAATTTTCATAAATATGTCTGTACTCCGATACCTAAATTGTGACTTACTTTGGGTTGCGTTATGGGTTGTGCTGTAAGAACAGTGTTTCGTTATATTCACAAATATGACAGGCCATCTACCAAGGATTATAGAAAATGATTGATATTAGAAAATAATTTCTTTGAGCTAATGAGCATTTACCTTGAATTATA